CCCCCCCCTTCCTACTCCACCCACCAAACCACCCACCCATCACCCCACCTCCCCGTGTACCTGAGAAAGAACTGCTCCAGATGGAATGAGTTGTTGGGTCTCTGACTGACAAACGCCCACAGGAATGTAGCTGACGGCCAGGGCCCGCTGAAGTATTTGAACAGCATCACGTTCTCCAGGTCTGCGAAGATGATCTTCTGCATGCACGACAGGAGCCGGATCTGAGGGGAAAAGGGGAGGTGGGTGGGTTTGTTGTTGTTTTTTTCTGGGGGTGGGGAGGGGGGAGGTCGATTCAGTCTGTGGAAAAAGGTACTTTTTTCTTGTCTGTCTTCTCTTGCCCTCTTCCCAGCTTCCCCCCCCCTCCTTTTCCCCCTTTTATTTCCTTCCCTACATTCACTTTCCGCTTTTTCTTTTCTTTCCGTACAGGCGAAAAACCCACGCCCTAAAACTAAGGAGGATTTGCTTTTAACTCGAGTTTCGGTAAAGGGAAGTGCTTAATAATTACACTCCAGCCCCTCCTTCCCCCAAACCACCGTACCTCTTACCATCAGTGTGCCTTAGGAGAAACGAATCATTGTAGATTGTAAGGAACTAACACGCAGATATTATTTTTACACCCTAGCCCTCCCCTCCTCCATCGCCCACCCCCAAACACTCGCCTACCTTAGGAGAGACGAGTCGCTGAAAAGGCCCGGAACTAGTCCCAGAATCATCCGCACTGGCCGACCCCGTCTTCGTCTTCGTCGTCTTGGCAACAGCGGCTGTGGACGGCTGGTGTGCGCACCGCGGCCCGTCCAGACGGAGTCTGAGCGTGGAGTCCGAGTGTTGTGGCCATGGTGGTGCCACAGGGTTAGAGCCACACCCACCGCTGGTACATGTATTATTATGTTGAGACGTCTCCTCAGTGCAGTTTGTCGGGGTGCGGCTGGTGAAATCAAAGTTGATTCTCTCAACACTGTGGACGGAACGCATGTCAGCAGAAAAGCTGTAAGCACCACCGTTGTTGGCTGCTGCAATAGCAATGTTGTTGGTATTAGCAAAACTGACTTCTTTGGTATTACAAAAGCTGTTGGTACCGCTGGTGTGGGTGACAGCAATGCTGTTGGAACTCCTGCTGTTGGCATTATAGGAGTTGTTTACACCAACGTCGTTGGCGGCATGACTGTAAGTCCCAGTGCTGTTGGTTCTGGTGCTGTTGCCTCCAAAGCTGTATACACAGCTGCTGCTGTTTGGACATATGCTGTTGGCGTTCAGGCTGAAAACACTACCACTGTTTGCACTAATGCTGTTGATATTAATTTTATTATTGCTGTTGGCACCGATGCTGCTGGGGCTGAAAATGCTTCTGCCGTTAGTGCCAACGCAGTTGGTCTCGGTACCGTTTGTGCCAACACTGTCCACGTTAAAGTGGTTTACGCAAACGCTGTGTGCACCAGTACTGTTAGCACCGATGTTGTTCGCGCCAACCATGTCAGCTTCAATACTTTTGGCACTGTCAGCGCCACTGCTGCTATCCCCTGTTTTGTTGGCACCGACACTGTTAAAATCAAAGTTGTCAGTACTTACTATGCTGTTGACACCAGTGTTGTCGGCATTACGCTTGGATACACTACAGCTGGTTATACTATTGCTGATGGCTCTGCTGCTGCTGGTGTCAATACTGTCACAGCCAATAGGCCTACTGTTAGCGCCAATACAGTTAGGGCCAATAAAGTTAGGGCCAATACAATTAGCGTCAATACTGTTAGTGCCAATACAGTTAGGGCCAATACAGTTAGGGCCAGTAAAGTTAGGGCCATTACAGTTAGGGCCAATACAGTTAGCGTCAATACAGTTAGCGTCAATACTGTTAGTGCCAATACTGTTAGGGCCAATACAGTTATCAGCAGTACTGTCAGCTCTGGTGTGTGAAATGCCCTGAGCGTGTTGTCGAGCTCGCGGGGCCACTGTGGCCGTGGAGAAATATCGCCACCTCACCCTCGGGCCGCCGCTCACTGCCCGCGCTGCTCCTTTCTTCCTGGGAACTTTGCCGCCAGACTTTCTCACCGAGCCGCTCTCTGAGCCCTCTCCCAGAGGTATAAAGCTTGGCAAAGCTCCGGGCGTTTTCCTCCTAGTGACGTCACGCTGGGACGACGCACTTTGTGACTTCGAGGATGCGCCTTCTTCTTTTTCTTCTTCTTTTTCTTCTTCTTCTTCTTCTGAGCTGACGAGGATGAATCGATCTTTCGGTCGTATCTCCATCTCCAGATCGTTGATCCGGATTTTCCGGACGCCGCGCGTGGCTGCTGTTTGCTGGGCTTTACGATGTCCTGATTTGGTAGATCCAACAGTTGAAATAAGTCTCCCACGATGAGCAGCGCCAGATATTTCTTTAGACGAAGCGGTAAAAGGAGAACTGAACGTGAAAGGAGAACTTCTTCCTTCACACACGCGTCTAGAGGTGACCTGCTGGGTACCTTTGGTTTGGGAGGTTCTTAAGGGCATTTTCATGAAAGAGGATTCAGCCTCAGTAGTGGCGGGGGGAGGGAGGAGGGTTCCCCCTTGTGCAGAGGAAGAAGAAGGAGTTGTGAAATGGGGATTGGGAGGAGAGGGAGGCTTGAATACAGAGAGACCCATTCCAAACATGTTTTCTTCGGAGACTCTCGTGACCTCTCCACCCGCAAAACGCGACGCCGTTCTGGTCTCAGTGACGTCATTTCCCTGGACGTCACAGTTTGGCCGTTGGTCACGTGAGTTTTGCACCGTTCGTAGATTAGCCATGGATGGGATCTGGACAATCTTCGTGATCGCTGCTGACGTGGTGGTGACGACATTACGGTCATCAATGCTTCCCGTCTGACGACTCTGATTTGACTGCTTGGAGCTGCTGGCAGGACGCAGAGTGACGTAAAAGGGAGAACTTTTTCCATTTTGACCAACTCGAGGGCGATAAGTCGCTACTATAAAACAAGAGTCGTCAAAATCCATGCTATTAACGTCAGTATCAAGATCTCTGTTTGTGCCTTTCGCACTTGCACATCTCTCGAGATCCTTATAAAATCTGTTGGCTTCATATTTTGTTGCAAGTCCCCCACGCGCTGCCGCTTGATTTAAATTGCTTGTCATATCTCCCATAGCAAAATCTCGGCAAATCTCCGAGCTGTCACATACTCCGCGAAACTCTGAGCCAGTACTTTTTCCGCGAAGTTCCGAGCCAGCACAAGGCTGTGTGACACATTGACCAGAGCGGTCTCCACCCAGCCCTTGTCCAGCAGAGTCGTCGCTGTCGCTGCTGCAGTGCTCTACAACGTAGCAGCTCTCGTCGTCATGGACCACCGCCCCTTTGTTGACAATAATGAACTGATCGTCGTCCTCAATATCGATGACGTCAATATGCGAAGATTCCCTGCTCCCAAAGCCCGGCGGCTCCTGCTGTTCACTCTCTACAACATTCAGGGGCAGACAAGAGGCGCGATTTGTGGAATTGGTATGCACAAATGACGAGTTTATCTCCCTTGAACCACGAGTCATGTGATTCAAGCTGGGATTTTGCCCTGCACGTCCATTGGAGCGAGCTGGGATCCCATCATCCTCAGAATCGACAACCGACAAGTCGATAACTTTGTCGTCATATCTAGCAGCCGACCCCTTCTTTCTTTTTGGAACAGCCTTACAATTCTTACTTTTTTTTCGCGCTTGGAATGCGCGCCCACCTTTACACGATTTGCATCTTTTGCGACGTTCACGGCCAGAGCCACCAGCAATCATGTAGAGAGATTCTTCTTTGACTAGACCCTTCTGGTGACGCTCTGAGCCCCTCAACGCATGACAGGTCGTGTAATACGTATCGGAAAATCTGTCCACAGACTCGGGGAGGACGAAAACGAGCCCGCACTTGTTCCGTGAGGAACTACTGCGCTTGGGGCAAGTTTTACCTACAGCGCCGTTTGACATGAGGCTGTCTGAGGAATCGCGCCTTCCAGAACTCAGGGACTCGGATATTGGTGTACACAGAGTGCTAGGAGACTGTGCACTGGGCCGGTCTGAATCGTCCGGGTTCGATCTACACGGATGACTCCCATATGGAGGCTGACTGTTGATGACGGCGTAGTAGTAGTCTTTTTTTAGCCTAGAAGTGTTCTTGGAAAAGGTCGCGTAAACTGGGCGATACTGCTTCGAGCATCTGGACCTTTTGCGGCGAGCAGAGCGTGATTTCTGGCCCTTGTGACAACAGCGTTTTGGTACTTTTCTCGAACGCTTCGAGGACATGACAGAGGGAAAATCCCTGTTTTCGTAGACCGGCTTCGTTTTCATAACTTTTCTCGCGGTTTTGGAGATTGTTTTGGACTGGGTCGGGCACCAAAAAGCCTCCACGTCGCTAGTGGCTTTAACTCTCTTGGTGAGGTCGGCACCACAGGCTGGAGACAGGCGGCGTTTGAGGCTGGGCGTGGCCTCGTGCTCACCACTCACCTCCATTGGTTGGGACGGCGCGCACACCTCGATGACCCCATTGTCCTGACTCTCCTCTTCCGAGACACCATCTAGGAAAAGCAACCTCTTTGACAGTGGTTGCTGCTGCTGCTGCGTCTGTTGCTGTTGATGGTGCTGATGAGGTTGCAGCTGTTGATGATAATGTTGCTGCTGGTGCTGATGATGCCAATACTGCTTTTGATGCTGCTGCTGCTGCTGCTGCTGTTGAATCTGGTGCTGTTGAAGTTGCTGTGGCTGTTTGTGCCCACTCAGACAGTCTGTGGCGGAGTCCGACAGATCGTCCGAGCTAGAAAACAAAGACTTGGACTCACAAGACGACGACGTGACCCCACAGCAACAGCTTTCTTCTGCGTCCTCTTCAGCATTGGACAAAGCCTGAACCTCCATGGGTACTACAGTGAATCCAAACACCTTGGAACTTTCTTCTGTGTCCGAGTCAGTTTCCTCACTAGATCGCGCGTTTGTGGCGACCAAATCAGACGCCAAAGAAGCAACAGCATTTCTCGAGAGCTTCGTGGAACCACCGTTTCTCAAACTCTCATTGAACGCTTTGTGCTGAGATTTGGAGCGAGGGAAATTGGACGTTTCTGATTCCACGATGCCGTAACGTTCAGTTTTGATGTTCCGCTCAGTGCAACAAATATCCTCACGAGTTCTCGTGCAGTCCGAGTCAGGAGGCAGGTTCTTGGAGCAGCCCGCCTCAAACAAAGGGTCCGCACATCTCTGCACGCTCGCCTCGCGACGGCAGACGTCACCGTATTGGTATCTGACATTTGACGAGCAAGAATCTGTCCCTTGCTGGCTCTCACCAGTAGAGAAAGTGTTAACGCGACTCGCCTCAGCATGCGCATACTTGGAACACGGACGCAAGTAAAAAATATCGCGTTTTACCTCACGCTTCATCGAGTCACAAGAGCTGCGAGGGTGGTAGCGCGAAGAGGTTGTCTCTAACGCTGCACTCATCATCCCTTCCTCCATTAGGAAGGAAGTATTCGCCACTGTTTCGCTGATCCTCTCCACAGCTGACTCCTGATCCGAGCAATTTTCAACAAGCGTACAAAACTCTGCACTGCGTGTCTCGGTCACACGACCCTCGTCGTCGTTAATGATCTGCACCTCGTCTACGCAAGTTTCTCCATCCATCCTACTACACTCGTCCCACTTCTCTTCGATCAGTCTATCTAACTGCTTCGTACAATCGTCCTCCACGTCTACGAGGTATTCAGAACAAACCTCTGTGGTGTTTCCAAACCCAGAATTCCTCTCCCGAACCTCTTCGAGATCTGGGGAATCTTCTCGAACAAGGATGGGGTCTAAACGACCACCCCTAGTGAATCCGTCCTCAGCGCTTCCTTCATCCTTTACTACAAGCTGCTGAGGCGCTGGCCCGAAAACACTGTCCTTAGACTGGTCAAAGTTCAAGCCAGACTGGGAAGTAGCCCAGCCACGAGTCGCACCACCAAGACGAGCATTTCTTCCCAGGCAGGTCCCATCCTCCTTGTGAATTCCCCCACACGTGCCTGACGGTGCCACAGATCGCGAGCAACTGTTTGGATGTACCACGCAGTAATTTTGGAAAGGTGCTACATTATCCCAAGTCGCGTTTTCACAGGTGGAGCACCGAGAGTACTTAGATGTTGCAGCGTCACTCCCCAAAGTGTTCCTCTTCCTTTTGGCAATTCCCGGCCCATTTTTAAAACAGCCAGCTCCCTCGACCGTATTTATACTTCTGGCACACCATTCGGTATCGTCAACACTTCCGGCACACCCTTCAGTGTCGTCAACACTTCCGGCACACCCCTCGACATCGTCAACACTTCCGGAACACCCCTCGGTGTCGTCAACACTTCCGGCACACCCCTCGACATCGTCAACACTTCCGGAACACCCCTCGGTGTCGACTGCCGAGTTGACAAAACTGCTGTCGTTGGAAGAGTGAGACAGTTGGTCCTCTGTCGCGATGCCGACACCCGAGATACCACAGCGGCGGACGAACTCCCTGAGTGAGCTGGCCTCGTTTCGCAACACAGGGCCTTGCAGAGGGCAGGACGTGTGGATGGCCAGCGTGGAATGGGAGATGCCCGTGTAGATGAACTGGTGGCACTCGGCACACGCGTGGTCGGTGAGGAGGACAGAGAACACATCCACCTGCACAAATGTGGGATGGGAGGATTTGGGGTGGTTGGGGGAAGGCAGAATGACCGGGGGAGGGGGAGGCGGGATGACCGGGGATTTTTTTAGGATGGTGTGAGGTGTTGATGGATGGGGTGGGTGGTCGGTGTTGGGGTAACGAGGTGGAATGTTCGAGGATGGGGTGGAGGAAGAAGATTTGAGACAGGTAGGGGGGGGGAGGTACGGAAAGAAGCATTGGAGAATATTATTGTACCAACAGGCAAGTTTGATGGACAGAGAGGCAGAGGCAGATAGAGGGAAAAGATACTGGACAAGTTGAGAATATGGCTGGGAATAGCAAGAACAACAGACACCATTGCTGCAACGCAAGACAGAGTGAAGTGGAGGTCTATGATTGCCCACGCCAGTCGGCAAGGCACCGGGTGATGACGATTGGGGGATAGAGTGGGATGGGTGGGAGTGAAGAGATTATGGGGGGGAGGAGGACACGATACTTAGTTTAGATTTGATATGGTAAGGTTAGTTTTCTTCTTTTTATGGACTCGTGTTTCCCCATCAACACAATTTAGGTGATCATTTAGAAGGCGGGCTTCCGACTCTGCCTGCCATGGCCAACACGAGCTGAAAGAGATACAACATCCCAGCAGAAAGACAGACAAACTCAATATAAGAAATTATCCTGAATCGAAAATCGAACTCGGATCTCTTGCGTTGCATGTATGGCATGGTTAGTAAAGGGAACATCTCAATGACTACCAAAAGACATTTCTAAATTGCTACGTGTGGTCAATTTTCTATACGGCTGTGAATGCTGGACAATCACTAAAATCCGTGAAAATGAAATTGAAAAAACAACAGAAATGTGGGTTTCCCAGATGACAGTTGAGGTTTTCTTGGAAAGACAGAGAGAGAGACCGGGAGAGAGAGAGAGAGAGAGAGAGAGAGAGAGAGAGAGAGAGAGAGAGAGAGAGAGAGAGAGAGAAAGAAAGAGAGAAAAAGAGAGAGAGAGAGAGAGGGGGAGAGAGAGAGAGAGAGAGAGAGAGAGAGAGAGAGAGAGAGAGAGGGAGGGAGGGGGGGAGGGAGAGGGGGAGAGAAAGACATGCAGGTATAATGACAGACAGCCACGCATACAGATGAACAAGAAGACAGACAGACTTATAGATAGACACACAGACACATAGACAGACACAGGGAGAAACAAACAAACACAAAAAGAGACAGGGAGAGACACAGACAGACACAAACTACAAAGACGAAAAAACAGACAGACAGAAAAACCAACAAACAGACCTACCCACAGACAGACAGACAGACAGGCAGACAGACAGACAGACAGGCAGCCAGCAAGACAGGCAGACAGACAGACAGACAGACAGACAGACAAATACACAGACAGACAGACAGACAGACTGACAGACAGACTGACCACGGTCCGGGGACATTTACAGCTGACGAGGTGGGCGTGGTCCAGATGTTCCTGCAGCTCCGTGGGCCGGGCCAAGCCTGATTGACAGCTGTTACAGTACAGCGAGCAGGGGACACGCCCACAGCGCTCGCGGAGCTCCTCTACCATACGACACGGCACGGGGATGGGGGCGGAGCTATGAGGCCTGGATACGTCATCTAGGGAGGGAAAGGGGACCAAGTTGGTGGCGGGGAAGGGGGGGGTAGGCGTGGGGGATGGGGATAGAGTGGGTACGAAGGAGGGGATATAGCGGGTGCGGGAGGGTGTGGGGGTGGTAGAGGTAGATCTTATGTGATATGTGTGATTAGGGTAGGGGTAGCAGGGGGGGTTGAAGGCAGAGTTGAGGGGGCGGAGAGTGGGGTAATAGTAAAATGGGGGTGTGAGGGGTGAGGTGGCAAAGACGTGGAAGGAGAGAGGGGGGGTTATGGTAGAGTGCAGTGGGGAGGTGACTGGGGTGGGTGATGGTGGGAAGGGGGAGAAGTTGGAGAAGCTTTTAAGCATCTTTTAGTATATGAGAAGAGACCAACAAAGACTATAACAGGCCGCATCCTTAATGAACTGACCTAATAAGTATCTGTTTTACCTGGGAAGGAGAAACTGGCGGTATGATGCGCCATGTTATCCATGTGGAGGGCGGCGGTGCTGTAGGAGGGGAAGAACTGCAGGCACTGTGGGCACGTGTAGACGGAGAAGGGGACGGGGGGCAGGAGCTGCAAGTGTTTGTCCGTCAGCATGTGCTCACGGCACGGTGCCTCCTTCTGTATGTGTCGGGGGGGGG